CCTTTCACAAAGGAGTGGAAAGTGTGGCTGAGTAAGCAAGTGATAACATCATTACTATGACTGTTTTTTTTTCCAGAGCAGTAATGAGAATTGGGTCCTAAGTCCAAACTCTACTATCATCCAGAAGGCAGGCAGACAACAAGTGAGCAACTCATGGTTATCCTTGCTATAAGTTCTAATTTTATCAGTTCTTGCTTTCTGACATTTCTTGGGTAGGCAGGCAGGCCACAGTGAAGAAAAAGAACAGTATTTCTTCTTAGGGACTAATTCTGGGCTGTGATTTAAAAATAACCAACTGTTGGTAGCCCTAAAGAACATTCTGTAAGAAATTCTTGAGGCCCTTTCAGGAGATGCATTTTGATCAAACAAAGCCTTACTTGGGCCTATTATGCTTGAACTAATACAGTGTATGTGGTGCCAGAATCATAGGGCTGGAATAGACCTTGGAGATCTTCTATACAACCCTTGGCCCTAGGCAAGAGTTCTTATTCCACTCTAAACAAATGGTTGAAAACCACTAGTACTCACAACTCCAAAGTACTCACAACTCAAGGAGGCAAGCTGTTCCATTGACTAATTGTTCTCACAATCAGGAAATTTCTCCTTAATTCTAGGTTGGATTATTCTCTGACTAGCTTCCACCCATTGTTTCTTGTCCTGCCCTCGGGTGCTTTGAATAAATTGACTCTCCCTTCCCTGTGACAGCCCTTTAAGTATTAGAAGGCAGCTCTTATGTCATGCCAAGCCTTCAGTCTGCTAGGCTAAACATACCCATTTCCCTCAGCTATTCATCATAAGGTTTAGCTTCCAGATCCTTTATAATCTTTGTTGCTCTCTCTGCATTCTTTCTAGGGCCTCAGCATATTTTTTGTATCGTGGTGACCAGAACTGCATACAGTATTCCAAGTGTGACCTTACTAGTGCAGTACTACTTGTGTTCTTTATGCTATTCTTCCTTTGATGTAGTTTAGGATTGCATTGGCTTTTTGGGGGGCAGTTGCAGCACACGGCTGGCTCATGCTTAAGCAATGTTCCATTAAGACACCTAGATTCCACTTACAGGTACTACCTATTGGGCAGTTGTTGTCCATTGTGTACATGTGTACAGTACTTGGTTTTTCCTGTCTAAGTACAGGATCTTACTTTTCTTACCACTGAACTGCATTTTGTTGAATAGGGTCAAATGCTCAAGTCTGTCAAGGTCCCTTTGAATTCTGAGTCTATCTTCCAAAGTGTTGCAGTTCCCCCCAGCTTAATGTCATCTGCAAATATTATAAATACCTATTCAGACCCCTCATCTAGATAATTTATGTTGATTATGATGATAAGATGTTCAGGAGCACTGGGCCCAAGAAAGAATCCTGAGGAATGCCACTACATGTACTGTATGTAGATGTAATTCCATTGCGTTGGTCAAATCCACAACAGTATTGCAACTGAACTGGTTCATTTCCATTATCCATGACAGTATTCAAATATGAATGCTATCCAATTTGGCAATGATTTTTTTTCTCCTATATTCTAGGCTTCACACATTTATTAATGAGCTTTGAATATTTAAGGTACAATAATTACAAATGCCATTTCCCAAATAGTAAGGTTTAAAGAAATTAAGATTGTTAAACTATAGACATTTAGAATTTATCCATTTACAGAGTTATTTATATTACAAATAATACTGGATTATTTGTTGCCTGGATTTTTCAAAAATGGTTTCTGGAAGGAGATGTATGTTCTTTTAACAGAAAGATAGGACAGTAAGATTCTGTCAGAGTTCAATTTCTTCTTTAAAAATAATTAATATTGGGCAATGTTAAGCTTCAGAGTTAGTGACTGTAGGCTAGATAGAATTCCTGACATTTTGCCAGCAACGGTGGCTGGCATCTTTAGAGGCAAGGTTGTCCACTATGCAAAACACAAGCAATTGAATAAGGATTGATTGGGCTCCTGTATTTATAGATGGGTATCTGTTAGTTTATTGGTCTTTAGTCAAGCTGGTTTCCAATTGGTGCAGCTTGGCGAGAACTGGTTTCTGATTGGTTGCTGTGCCTGAACCTGATTGAAGCTCAATCCGTGAAAGCTTCTACTAGAAAATTATTAATGTTCTTTCATGGAATGGAATATAGCTATTATTTGGTACATAAATAAGAGGAGTTAATTTTGTACAAGCTATGGCCTAAAATACACTGTAGCCATTGAATTGTTTTAAGTCACACAATTTTCTGTTCCATTGCTCATTTCTTTTTTTTCCTGCTTTTCTGAGAGAGTCCTGGTCTTCTCTTCATGTGTTCTCTCATGCTGCTAATGCCTGGAATAACTTCTTTTGGTTTATTAAATTTTTATTTCTTTAGTAGTAGTACTATTCCCCCATCCCCTTCATTTATTTTCTCATCTAATCTCTAGGTCATCACACTCTAGCCTCCTAGCTGGTAACTAGCATATATTCCTTTAGTACAATCTACAGGTGAAACTTGAAAAATTAGAATATCATGCAAAAGTTCATTTATTTTGGTAACGCAACTTAAAAGATGAACCTAATATATGAGACAGACTCATTACATGCAAAGCAAGATAGTTCAAGCCATGATGTGTCATAATTGACCGCAGCCTGGAGAGGATTATCAGGAAAAGGCCATTCAAAAGTTTTGGGGACTTTCACAAGGAGAGGACTGAGGCTGGAGTCAGTGCATCAAGAGCTACCACACATAGACGGATCGTGGACATGGGCTTCAAATGTCACATTCCTCTTGTCAAGCCACTCCTGAACAACAAATGTCAGAAGCATCTTACCTGGGCTAAAGAAAAACAGACCTGGTCTGTTGCTCAGTGGTCCAAAGTGATGAGAGCAACTTTTGCATTTCATTTGGAAACCAAGGACCCAGAGTCTGGAGGAAGAATGGAGAGGCACACACTGCAAGATGCTTGAAGTCCAGTGTGAAGTTTCCACAGTCCATGTTGATTTAGGGAGCCACGTCATCTGCTGGTGTTGGTCCACTGTGCTTCATTAAGTCCAGGGTCAACGCAGCCATCTACCAGGAGATTTTGGAGCACTTCATGCTTCCTTCTGCAGATGAGCTTTATGGGGATGCTGACTTCATTTTCCAGCAGGACTTGGTACCTGCCCACATTGCCAAAAGCACCAAAACCTCGTTCAATGACTATGGGATTACTGTACTTGATTGACCAGCAAACTCGCCTGACCTGAACCCCATAGAGAATCTATGGGGCATTGCCAAGAGAAAGATGAGAAACATGAGACCGAACAATGCAGAAGAGCTGAAGGCCGCTATTGAAGCATCCTGGTCTTCCATATCCCCTCAGCAGTGCCACAGGCTGATAGCTTCCATGCCACACTGCATTGAGGCAGTAATTGCTGCAAAAGGGGCCCAAACCAAGTACTGAGTACATATGCATTCTTATACTTTTCAGAGGTCCGATATTGTTCTATGTACAATCCTTGTTTTATTGATTGCATGTAATATTCTAATTTTCTGAGATTGTGGATTTGGGGTTTTCATGAGCTGTAAGCCATAATCATCACAACTATAACACATCACGGCTTGCACTATCTTGCTTTGAGTTTAATGAGTCTGTCTCATATAGCATTTCATCTTTTAGTTGCATTACTGAAATAAATGAACTTTTCCACAATATTCTAATTTTTTGAGTTTCACCTGTACACTTGCTACTTAGCAAGCAGCAGTAGCAGTAGGGATTTCTACAAGTATCCTGTTGATGGGCTCAGTAAAAGTTTATTTTCCCAAAGGCAAAAGTTAGAGGGGAAATGCTGTTTATGAGTAATAAAACTGTTAGTTGAAAGCTAGCTACATTTACTCAAAAATAACTCCACTTTGCTTCTCACATTCTACTTTTCTACAGAGATACATACGAATTGTCAGTCTTTCTTTTGGGAGTTCTTTGATACTTGATCGGCAAACTACGCCATCTGTGCATTCACCATGGTGAACAAATTCACCCAAAGGTGACTTTCTAAGACTCCCGATTTAACTCTAGCTATTGTTAAGTAACTGGAACAGCCAAACCTTGCTCACTCTGTAACTCATTAACCTGTTGTTCGTGTAGTCTCTCCTCCTTGCCCTTCTCCAAATTACTAAACTCAAGTTCTCAGAAAGCGCGATCCTCCTCACAGAGGCTTCCGAGTTTTTTCCCCGTACCTCCTTTGTCTTTGCTCCCCATGGATAGAGGTTTCGAAGTATTTCTAGCAGGACTACCAGATTCCGTAACAGCTTTGCTCCCTATTGCCATCCATCTGGTAAACTCACAAGATTCATTTTTCTCGCCATGTACATGTATACATCCGAACTACACTGTGTGGTTTGTCTGTGTCATATATGTGACACATATGTGTCATATATGTCATATATATGCATAATTTTATATTTATTTTGTCATGCTTATGTAGTGCATATTGGTGTGGGTGACCTTTTCAGAGCTGTATGCAACATTTCATTTTAATGTATGCCGATTCGTGTACATTCAAAGTGACAATAAAGTTATTCTAAGTCTAAGCTATTCCCCCTTAGAATTGGCAAAGAGGCAACTGGACTTTCTGTTGTTGTTTTTTTTCTTTCAAGACGTTTCGCTTTTCACCCAAGAAACTTCTTCAGCTCCACTGGATGGTGGGCAAAAAAAAAAAAATGGCAAGAAGCCAAGAGTCAAGCCTCCTGGGGCATCTCTCAGTAAATACTCCCTTGGGGGCGGGTGGAAGGGAAAGGGGAATATGGCCTTTCAATTAGTACTGCACACGTGTTGTTTATTTAGGAGGAGGACCTCCGTGTTTGACGGACCTACTTCCCAGCTATGCCCACATTGGGGGGGGGGGGGGGGGGGGGGGGGCCCGCCGCCCCCCCCCCGGCCCGCTTCGGCTGCGGGCTCTCAGGCGGATACCCCGAGCCTGCTGCCAATGCCCTGACACCCCCCCCCCCCCCCCAACAATCTAGTGTTGCTTCGCTGAGGGAGGGGGAGTAGCTTCCCCTTCGCCTTCCAGGGCGAGACGAAGGCCCCGCCGCGCTGCATTGTGGTCCTCGCCGTTGTATGTTGAAGCCGCAGAGGCTGTCGGGAACCACGGGAGGTGGCGGCCAAACTCCGAGCGGCGGTCGAGGGCCCGGCTGGAAACAGGCACCCCATCGCCTCCTGGAGCTTCTCAAGCCTTCCCTGCAGCGCTCTCCCGGGCCCGGTTCGCCGTCGCTGCCGCCGACCGTCGTTGGGAACTCGGAAGAGCCTTTGGGAGCATCTCCGAATTTAGCTACCTCGGATGGGGATGTGGAGGCAGGAGGCGGAGCTACCTGGGCAGAGAAGGCCGAAGTTGAGAGCGAGAAGCGGAGCGCAAAACTCCTGCCTGGCGCGGTGGGTCCCTTGAGGCCTCCGAAAAGCAGCCCTCCGAGGCCCAGGAAAGTCTTTGCGCGGCTTCCCGGTGAGGTGTCCGTGTGTGCGGGGGGGGGGCGAAACTCCGAAGAGGTCCCCTCGGGGCTCTCCGCCCCGGTCCTCTCAACTTTTTCTCCGCTTTCTGTGCTCCTTTAACTCTTCCTTGCCTCGTGAAGGTGGCGGTGCGGAGAGCTCCCGCCTTCCCGTGGAAGAACGGCAGGATCATGCTTGGCACCCACATCCCAAGGACGGTCTTTGGATCTTGGCTCTGCTTTTGAAGTTTTCCTTTCGCAGCAACGTCCCCCCACCCCACCCCCGGAAAGAGGAATTACAAATGCACGGGAGAAGACACGGAAACTTAAGAGACGGAAGATAGGAGTGTCTTCTAGTGCCTCCGTGAGAATTATACCAATTTCAGCTACTTCTTCTTCTACAATTGTTGAAGTAAATGCCGTTGTGACCTAGAGTAAGATTTCTACATCATGCACAATTTGCCGGCTCAAAGACGCTGAGAAAGCATTCGGTCTTTCTCTCTTTTTTTGCACATAACCTCTCGCTTTTGGAAAAAAAAAAAAGATTTGTGGACCAGGCTTCGAATAAGGGAGCTTAATGTAAACATACGTTGTTTTAACCCTTTTACTGCGGAAAACTAGAATAATTGATCCTCCTGTAGGCTTATCTTTTGTTAGGAAGATTACTTATTGCCTTTGTGTGACTACCCAAGGTGTGATTATTTAATGAATGAACATTGTAGTCAGGGTGGATGGCTGCTCTACCATTTCAAATGCTTTTGGAAATCGTTATGCAAACTTGCTGAAAAAAGCTGATATCGTTGGGAAAAATTGATCTCTCTTGACAAATCTCTTTTATCAAACAAGGTAAGTGGATCAATTCAGGCTCGCACAGTAAACACATTTTATGATTATGAGGTGTGATGGATTACTAGAATAAAATAACGAAGAAGTCCATTCTGAACATGTTATTTCAGTGCTGGTTACATTGTTTAGTTTTAAATGATTAAACTCATTCTCATTTTATTATATAGCTTTTAAAATATGGGAACTCAAATTGGAATAGAGAAAATGGTGTATGTTTAGCTCAATAATTACAAACTTGTAAAGGGTAAAAAAACTTTGAAACTAATTTGGTGGCCTTTTAATAAAGAGCTGTTTTCCTTTTTTTATTGCTTACTTCAGGGAACTTATTAAATAAGCTTATCAATAAGTTTGGTAAATATGCTTTGGTACAGTGTATTTTCTAATGCTGTACCAAAGCGTTTAAATCCCTGTATGTCTTAATTGAAGCTCTGAAATTTATAGAATCACAGAAAAGTTTATCATAACTTATTAATAACATCCAGCATTCGCTTGGGATAGAAGGATTCAGGTTCAAGGCTATGATAGTTCAGGGCTTAATGATTTATTTGTGATAATACTTATTTTTTCTTTTGAACTTTTTAAATATAGTATTTCATAAAAAGTTTCTTATTAATTAATAGCATCCAATTGCAAAATGGCACCTATGCTGTTTCTGTATTGATATATTTCTTTTTTAAAAAATTGTGTGACCATCTCCCTCCCACCAAGCTCAGAGAAAAATGAAAGTAGGTAGTAAAAGTTTAAAAATCAACTAAAGCAATTATAAGAGTCTTATAGATACCCCATTTTGTTCCAGTAGACTATGATGGTTGATTAATAGTCACATGAACAAACAAGTTTGCTTTATACCTATTATGTCTTTTGCTGAATGCATTTTTTCAAATTAATCTATCTGCAATAATGCTACTGATGCATTTTCTGTACTAGCAATTATTAATGCAAATTAGAATGTCTGTACTTACCCATGCTAGAATCAGATAAACGTCTATCCCCCTATACTTTTCTTAGGCACCTACTAAGGTAAGAATTTTAAACAATTATCCATGTCAAGTGAACTTTAGCATGGGCAATTATAGGGAAGTTTTACCAAGTTATATGTTGCACACAGATGTCTGATATGGTAAATTTGTAATGAAATTGTGACAAATTCAGATAAGTATAATTGGATACTTGTAGCTAGATAACACTGTAGCATCTTGATTTTGTTAATTAATATGAATTGGTATTAGTATGATTTCATAACTAAACTTAACATTAATTTCAAGATGATGTGTGAAGTGATGCCGACCATCAGTGAGGCAGAGATTCCCTCAGGGGGAAGTGGAAACCGTGGTTCAGGTTCTCCCCTTCAGTCGGATGCTGATTCCCATTTTGAGCAATTAATGGTATCCATGTTGGAAGAGCGTGATCGCCTCTTGGACACATTGCGAGAGACTCAAGAGACACTTGCATTGACCCAGGGTAAACTACATGAAGTTGGTCATGAGAGGGATTCTCTACAACGACAGCTTAATACTGCACTTCCTCAGGTATTTATTTAAATGAAAACTTTTTTAAATTTAAAAATGTTAAAATCAATATTTTAAGTTTAAATTCTTTTCTCTAAGTATTTACTTGTCATGCAAGAAGATGTAATCTAATGATCATGTTTATAGTGGTGGGTTTTCTCACAGAGAACCTAACATTAAACCAATGCTTGACAAGAACTGTAGCTTTTTAAAAACTTGAGTAGAATGACCGGCTAGAAGAAAAATAAAAAGTATTTACAAGATTAGCAGGTGTAGCATCCTGCTGTTTTTCTGACTGCAGATTAGCTTTGTCATCATAATCTGTCCCTTTATAAGGAAAGACATTTCAATTTTAACTTACAATTGTGAATCTGAAATATAAAATTATGCAGCATATTGTGACTTAGCCACTATAAGTCTTAGTTTTTCTCTTTGAAATTTCATATAAATAGTTTCACTATATTATTTTACTAGTCTGGCTGATTAAAAACTCTGAACTGTAGTGCATACAGTATTTTCTGAGGAAAAGTCTGAGCTTTCTTTAAGAATGACTTGACAAATGGCACCCATAGAACTTTACATCTGAGAGAAAATTTCATGTTTTCTCCATGGTAATAATGGCAACACAACATAACCATAATTTTCCAGTAATATAACACTTCCCCAATATTTTGGTTGTGGTTATAAATATATTGTGGAAGAGGATCTTCACATATCAAAAGATAGGAAAATCAAGGTTCATATGAATAAGATCCTTTATATAGATTTGTAATAGCCATAGCTTGATTCCACTGTATAACATATATGAAATATTATATTGTAAGCTACCCAGAATCATTGACTAAGATAGGTGGCCATAGGAATTGAACAAATAAATTATAAAGTTGTGTAGATGAGCATATTTGTGTGTGCATACATGGTATATGTTTATGTATGTATATTTATACATGCATACATATTTGAATATCATTTACAAAGTCTAAATCTCTCTGCTTCCTATAGATAATTACTGGAAATCATTAAATAATTTGTAACTCATTTTCTTCTCTGCTTCACTAAATTAGATAAAATGTGAATAATTGGAAGTCCTTTATGTGATATGTGGTAAAGATTCCAGATTTTTAAAATGTTTTCTTTTTGGTAAATGTATTAAACATTAGAGTAAGATTAGAACTAATACAAACTAAAAAATAGAAAGTGCAGAAAAGTAGAAACAATATAGTAAAAGAAATATATAAACAAATGATTTCTCCCTTCATAAGTATAAACAATTTTAGTAATTCATCACCTTCTCTTAAAACACAATAGCTGATCTTTTCTTCACGTATTTTATATCTTATCTATAAATGAATCTTTAAAGCTTAATTGTTCTAGTTAAGTCTATTGAAGGTCCAGAGATAACTGAATCTATTTTAACCTTGATCAAATAAACCAACTTGTTAATTTAAATGTTTTTAAATTAACTTTTTATCATTCTATAAGCTACCCAGAGTTGCTTCAACAGTGAGATGGGTGGCATTTAAATTTTTAAAAAAGTTATATTCCTTTCTTTTTACAGTGTTGGTTTTTAATCTCTTCTAAGACTGCATTGAACTTGATTTCATTTTTTCTTTGTCCCTTCTCACAAAGTCCTTTAAGACTTTAACAAGTCTCCTTTGTATATCCAATTTAAGAAAATTATCCAGATCACTCTTTTGGTTTGTTATTTGTATACTACTTCTAATTATTTAAGACATCAACCAGTTTTATTTGTATATCTGGTGTAGCATCTTTTTCCATATCATTCTTGTAGCCTCTCATTTTTAAATTCATTTTGAAATCAGGAATGTCTTGTCTGGTAAAACTTGTTCTTCAGCTGTAACATCTTTTAAACATAGTCTATAATGACAGACATTTTTAAAATTAAATTCCGGGTCCATTCTTTACAAATACCTTTAAATGCATCCAGTTAATGTATTTTGCTCCATTCTATTGTATTGGTTAAATTTAAGTGTTTTTCTTCTTCAATTGTAATATTTAGTTTCTTCTAGTTCTCTCTTGTAGTCAACTTTCAAAATCTTTTCCTTTCTTCTTTTTAAAGAATTCAAAGCAACATCATTATCTCGCAGGAAGAATTTTTATAATTATTTTCAAAATCTTATTTTGAATCCTATCTGGACCTTAATCCTTTTGTAACTTTCCAAGATCAACATTCTAATCATCTATTTGCTGTTTATTCCAAAAGGGAAAAAATGAGGTCCTTTGCATTTAAAACTTTTGCTAAAGATAGAAGGAAACTCAATCAGTGCTCTAAAACTTGTCACTGCAAAGATTCCTAATACCTGAAAGCAGTTGAGCAATTTCCAAAAGTGATTAAGAAATGAGGCTTGGCAAACCTTAGATCCATATAGGCTGCATTCTGGCTGTGAGCTGCTTGAAATCCTCTGCTCCCAGCCCCTCAACTTACAAGTTGACCACAAAAACCTCAGTTTCTGCAGTCTGTTCATGAGAAACAGCTGTCTGGAGAACACGTGGTTGGTTTCATGATCTTTACTTTTTCTGGAGAGATTTTGCTGTCTAGCCACTCATCTATGATGCAATTTTGTCCCTGCTCCTTCAGGAATTGATTTCTAGTTCACTATGGATCCTCATCAAAACTCATACCAATATATTTTTTAAAAAATATTTTAAAAGTGATGTCTGGGTTTTGTTTTTTGATTCTAGGTGTTGTCCATTAAAAAAAAACTTCAGATTTAAACATAACCTTTGTATTCCTTGGTGGTTTTGGAAAAAAATTGCAAACAAAAGTTTTTCTTCTGAGATTACTATTAGGTGAAGTTCAGATCTTAGATAAATGGATTTAGGATATCTTGTACTTAAGGGTTCCACCCCCTCCCTTCCAAAGAGCATGTTTATATTGGTTTGTTTTGCTTTAATGGCAACTGCTAGGAAAATGAAGGAATTTGTTACCCTTCATTCTTTCTGTATTTTGTTTTAGAAATTTGTAAGAAAATGCATAATTCATAATGAAATAACCACTGAGAAAAACATGTAAAATACCTTAAAGGATGGATTTAGGGGAGGTGTAGTTAAAAATTAATAAAATACTGCTCAGATACAGTCATAGAAATGAAGGGCTTGGACTTATAGCCTTTGCCTAATAAGATGGATGTAACTTTCTTTTGAAACTGAATCTGTTTTTGAAGTAAATTCATATATTTGGCTAGTCATGTTTATATTTTTAAGAATTTAAAGTTCAGAGCCACCTGCTTTTAGAGAACAGCTTGGTCACAGTATTTTCTATCCTGATAATTTCTTCATTTGGTTACTGTAATGTGTTATGTATGGGGCTTCCCTTGAAAACAACCTGTAATCTTTCAGTAACTCAGAAAGCTATAATGACAATTGTAATTTAAACAGCCAAAGAGAAGCATACTATCAATTATTACATCAATTCTGAACAAACTGTTCTATCTGCTCATTTGCCTCTGGGCATTATTTAGTGTCTACCTTTAAAATGTAATGTAATGATTTAGGAGCCAAGTATTTGGCAGTAAGTGCCATTTTTCCTACATCACAAAATCTCTTCTTGGGATCTTTCTGTGGAAAGTACTGTATATTGATTCATGTTGAAGAAGCTTTGTGTCTAGACCTAATACAGTAACACATATAGCTTTTGAGAAGCTTCAGCTAACATCCCCCCAAAAATCACTCTTTAAGTTTCCAACAAGGCTTAGGCAAACTTGATCTATATTCCATTTTTCTCCATAATTTGCACAGGTGGTCCTTTCATTTTTAAACTCTTAAACCAAGCAAGACAGTGGCGATTTAGAGCAGTGGTCCTCAACCGTTGTAGCTTGGTGGCCTGGCTGGGGAGGAAGGGAAAAGCTGGTGCATGCATGTGCATAAATGCAACTCAAGTCACGTGAGCGGTGGGACAGTGTGCATATGCATGCGAGTACAACAACTCAACTTGTGCAAGTTGAGTTGCATGTGCATATGTGCATGTGCACTGTCATGCCACTCACTCAAGTTGAGCTGCACGTGCATGCTCACTGGCTTGCTGCTCTCGCAGCCTGGTTCCAAATAGGCCATGAGCTGTTACCCCGAGGTTGGGAACTTCTATTTAGAGTCCAATGAATCCAGGACTATGGCAGTGCTGGCCAGGAGAACCTTTGCATACCTATAGTCTATATGTATGTATCTATCACCTTAATCCTGTGCTACTGTAATTTACTGTACATAGGAGTGCACTAAATATGATTTGAGAGCACCAGCTAATGCAAGTTGTAGTTTTGCAGGAACCAGGTTTATCCGGTATGGCTACATAACATTGGTTATTATGGGAGATTGATTAGATAGTTTTCTTACATTACTTTACTCAGCCTTTAAGATCTTTGAAATATGTCTAATTTGTGATGCAGTAAAAGAGTGATGTTTTAGAGGCAGTTACTTAGCTGTGGCATTTTTAGCTTGAGTGCCCTTGTTATGGAATGCTTTCAGCATCTTTATCATTGAAATGCTCTTGTGGTTTTGTTGGTTTCGTGTCTTTTACTCTTTTATAAAGATTAGTGATGTATAAAACCAGTTAATTATTATTGTGCTCTGGTTGTAGAACATCCTTCTCAAAGAGTAGAGATTTCTGATGCTTTTTGGCACCATGTCAAAATCTGTCAACTTTCCTAAGTATTTAATGCTGATTTATCTCAATCTGGTTGCTGGGAGTAGTCTCATTTTTATAGTTTCTACTGTTTGTCTTTATTTTATTGTTTGTAAAAAAAACAAAAAAAGTGTACATGAAGAGTCATCTTTTAGAAAATTCAATTTTTAGAGTAAATTTTATTTATACTTTTTTTTAACATATATTAGTGCTTAATAAATAGTGTACTGTATGGGTCAATTTATGTATACATAATATCAATAATAATAATACTTACTTGTATATAGTAGTATTCTTCCAACTTCTCATTTCTACCTCTGCTGTCGAACTATTTGTAAAATAACTCCCATGTTAAAAAAATATTCTGTATCTTTATCTTTTA